TATTCTTTTAACACTCATGCAAAAGCGTTAAGTTAATTTTTAACTCTAATACAAAAGCAGTAGCGTTTTCTTAACGCAAATGCTAACCGAACATTCCTACGTGAATGTTTCAATATATTGGAAAAATAATAAATAGTTTGCGTTGTATCGAGTGCAATAGCTCAACGAGTGCTGTGTATTCCAGCAATTAATCTATCTTTAGAATGTCCTTTTTCGAACAGTAGATATATAATAAGAAGTCGTCATGCATATTTGTATAGAAGTAAAGTAAATCAATTATTATTTAGACGTTGAAATTTATCAACATTGAGAGAATTATTTCCTCCATCAATTAAGCTCCCCCCCCCCCCCTCAGAAAAGTCAATTTAGGTCAAATTTATCGATTTTGTGATTTATAACTCATTAGGTAGAGCAAAGTATCTACTCTCGAATTCACTATAGTTGATTGATTTTATGATGAGATTTAAGAATATTACATAGGTTTTTCGGAACCCCCCTATTGAAAAAATAAGGTTTTTAAAAACTTATTCTCCGTTTTTCTCAAAATCAATTTTTTCGAGCATACCGTTTACGTGGGCAAGGTTTTCTTCTTCATAATGACTCAATAGAGAAGTGATCATTTTTTTTTAATGCACAGTAGACAGGTAGAGCTAGATCCTCACAGCATCCGATTTTTGAGTTTCTCTTTTGATGAAATAAAAAACTTAGGTGTTCCATTTTTGGTAGCAATCTTTTTGGGCATGATTTCGTGAATTTTACGAAAAAGATTTTTTAAAAAAACAAACAAAGGGAAATTCAAAAATCGGGCCCTGTGAGGACCTAGCCCTAAAGGTACTCTACAACTTGAAAACAGTCTGGGCTTGATAGCTTGTATCCTTATTGTGAAATCCTTGCCCGCGTAAAGGGTACTTTTGACCAATAAATTGACTATAACTCATTAGTTTCTTGGAGATTTTGGGGAGATATTTTAACCATAATCTCTCCTAGCCTAGACTAACATCCTCTGAAATTCTGGTTGAAATCGGATGAAAAATAACAAAGTTGGTTTCTGAGGGGAGGGAGGGGCTTAAGAAAAACAATAAATAGTTGCCTCTCGACAACACTAATGAAAAAAGCAAAAAAATTCCAAAAGAAGAAAATGATAATATTAATGTGCTGTAAGATAATCTTGATGATCGTACTTTCAATGGTAATGATAAAAAAGATGATCGTTGTCATAATGTACGATGCAATGAACAACGAATGAATTTGTATAATTTTACTGATAGATATTTGCTATTTTTTTGTTAATTATGTACGAAAATAGTTATTAGAAATAAAAGTTTGTTAGACGAACACACTTTAGCGCATATAGTAGTGGCGTAACTAGACCAGTGGCGACTCGCTGGCGGTGCCCTGGCAGTAGAAGGTGGCGCCACTCTTTTTTTGCTTCTAACTTTTTAACTAAATGTCATGAAGGTCTGAGCTTTTTATCATAAATCTAGCATTAAGGGGTAGCATATCTGGTGAAAGTTCCAAGCCCTCATCAGATATAGTTAAAAAGTTAGAAGCAAAAAAAGAGTGGCGCCACCTTCTACTGCCCGGGCACCGCCAGCGAGTCGCCACTGGTCTAGTTACGCCACTAGCATATAGATATAGGACAAGTAGATTTTCGAGAACGAATATTTTTTATATCGTTCTCGACTTCATGTTCTCGTTCCCGATTCCTGCGGGAAACGGGATGAGAAAAAGTCGTTCTCGCAGGACTCGACTAAATGGTGGGATTTTTCATACTGTTTTATTCATTTATGTTTTGAAAACGAATAGTTTATTATTGTACATGATCATGTATTATCTTTTTCAAAGGATTTCATCAAGAAACAATTATTTAAGTTAACCACCGATAAATTAAACGTTTCTGTTTTATTTGAACACGTGAACTTGGTAGTGTCCTCAATGAATTAGTTTCTTGTAATGAAAGTAAAACTCGACAAAACTCAATGATGATAACAAAGCTATGTGCATTGATAGTATGCATTATATGGGAGCTTTGACTCATGAGGAACTTCTTCAGATATCAAATCGCCTTTCGATCGAAATGAAGCTCATTTTATGAGTACTAGTATATTATAGAGAGGCCTTGAATAATTTGATTTTTCAAGCTTTCGTTCTTAAGATATCGAAATTCTATTGGATATTTCAACAAAAAATTGTAGTGTCTCTCCGATCACGTAGAAATTTTACTTTTGAGTTTCAAATTTAAGCTATGCACGAACAAAATTTTCAATAAGATTAATTAAGTGAACCAGTTGTAACTTTTCTAGTATCACCTCTCCTGAAATATCCAATATTCGAAACTGTCTTATGTGTAAAAGCAAATTTCGTTCATATATTTAAACTTCCAGAAAGTAAATACTAGTTGCACAATCAACTAATCGCATTGAGAACTTTGTTCATACGAAGTATGAAGTCTGAACTTGAAAGTCGGTTTTTCAGGTGACTTGTTACTGATCACAGCTTTTTGTTGAGAAACCCAGTAAAACTTCGATATTTCGAATATGATGACTGGAAAAGTTAACCCATTCCATACTTTTCTATTACTCTCTAACATTCATTAAATGAACACTGTCTCGTCAAAAAACAGGGAGATCGAAAATTTCGCCCCTGGCCGAAATTTCTTTAGAACGTTGGGTCTGTGACTTCATTGACCTCTAAAATGAAAAAAATCTAACTTCTTTTAGTTAGTTGCCAGATATCGTAGTACTGAGTAGAACGTCATAATGCTCAGCGATATGACCTAATATTGAGTAGGACGTCATAATGGATCTTGGTCTGGGTGTGGATGATATGGATGTGACTGTGGATGGGGACGTGGATATCTGGATTTGAGTCCTCTCTTCATGGACATCAACATCCATTATGAAGTCCTGCTCATCACCCCGATATCTAGCAACTAACTAAGAAAAATTAGGTTTTTTTTTAATTTTAGGAGCCAATGAGATCACGGACCGAAGACCATAGAGTAATTTAGAACCGGACTCAAACTCCATGGGCTAAAATTTATGTAACCGGAAAAGCTATTTGACATCTGGAGGGGTTCCCTCCTCAGATTGACGGCAGTTTTTTATTTTTTAACCTATACTCTTAATTTTAGCCCTTTCAATAACGCATGTTATCTCGCAGATGACATGCAGAATGCAAAAGAGAAATTTTGCATTCTATCGTCGTCCTACATGACACACATCATATCTGTATATTCAAAGAAGAGAGTGTATTCCTCTATGCGAAAACCTATTTTTTCACAATGAACTAATGAAGCTAGAATTCGCGTGCAGCTGATTATGCAAAGCAAAGCGCAAGAGAGAAAGAGAAAGAAATCGAGATTTTCTTCCATTTCATGCAGAATGAAAGAAAATATCGGGGTTGAAAGAGTTAAAAAAACAAAACGAGAGATTCATTGAAACCATAAACTATAACAATTCATTTTCTATCATACCCAATATCAGATATAACATCTTGATCGAAAGCCGATAGATATAGATCTTTATGTATTGACTTAAACTTTCGAACATTCGATTATCTTTGCAGCTAAGAGTTTATGTGAATTGTGTTTTTTTNCACAGCTTTTTGTTGAGAAACCCAGTAAAACTTCGATATTTCCAATATGATGACTGGAAAAGTTAACCCATTCCATACTTTTCTATTACTCTCTAACATTCATTAAATGAACACTGTCTCGTCAAAAAACAGGGAGATCGAAAATTTCGCCCCTGGCCGAAATTTCTGTAGAACGTTGGGTCTGTGACTTCATTGACCTCTAAAATGAAAAAAATCTAACTTTTTTTAGTTAGTTGCCAGATATCGTAGTACTGAGTAGAACGTCATAATGCTCAGCGATATGACCTAATATTGAGTAGGACGTCATAATGGGTCTTGGTCTGGGTGTGGATGATATGGATGTGACTGTGGGTGGGGACGTGGATATCTGGATTTGAGTCTTCTCTTCATGGATATCAACATCCATTATGAAGTCCTGCTCATCACCCCGATATCTAGCAACTAACTAAGAAAAATTAGGTTTTTTTTTTAATTTTAGGAGCCAATGAGATCACGAACCGAAGACCATAAAGTAATTTAGAACCGGACTCAAAACTCCATGGGCTAAAATTTATGTAACCGGAAAAGCTATTTGACATCTAGAGGGGTTCCCTCCTCAGATTGGCGGCAGTTTTTTATTTTTTAACCTATACTCTTAATTTTAGCCCTTTCAATAGCGCATGTTATCTCGCAGATGACATGCAGAATGCAAAAGAGAAATTTTGCATTCTATCATCGTCCTACATGACACACATCATATCTGTATATTCAAAGAAGAGAGTGTATTCCTCTATGCGAAAACCTATTTTTTCACAATGAACTAATGAAGCTAGAATTCGCGTGCAGCTGATTATGTAAAGCAGAGCGCAAGAGAGAAAGAGAAAGAAATCGAGATTTTCTTCCACTTCATGCAGAATGAAAGAAAATGTCGGGGTTGAAAGAGTTAAAAAAACAAAATCAGAGATTCATTGAAACCATAAACTATAACAATTCATTTTCTATCATACCCAATATCAGATATAACATCTTGATCGAAAGCCGATAGATATAGATCTTTATGTATTGACTTAAACTTTCGAACATTCGATTATCTTTGCAGCTAAGAGTTTATGTGAATTGTGTTTTTTTTTCTATTCATAGTTATTCTAAGGAGTCTATACAATTATAACAAATGATAAAGTCTATACGAGTTGAGAATTATTTAAAACTCACATGAATTATTATCGTCTGACGAAAATAACCTCACACTATTATGCGATCTTATCGTTCTCGTCAACATGTAAACGAGTGTGAGTCATTGTTCGGCATTTTTTCCCACAAGTATGAGTTACAAAGAAAAATGCTTCAAACAAACCAACCATCTCCTTTCATAATTTTGTGGTGTTGTTTTTATTTGACTGTTTTTTCAGACATTATTGTTTAACATGGAGGATGCACCTTCGCCCAACAACCATGGAAATAATACAAATTTCAGTATGAGACAACGATCCAAAAAATATCAAGCTAGAACAACAACAACAACAACGCATAATGAACAATTTAGAATGGAACTGCCTTCGTTTAATACAGGTTCCCCAGCATTTCATGCATCAACACCTCAACAACCTGCTGCTGCTGCTTTATCTTTGAATAACGTATACATCCTATAGTTAATATTTTAGCTATAATTTACTAATTAGTTGATATTTTCATTAGGAGGAGCCACTAATATCAAATATAAATGAACAACAATCCTTTGTACTAAGTAATATTTATTTTTATGAAAAAATGATTGTCTAATATTTTCTGCGGTATTTTAGACAATTATTTACAATCTACGAGGAAAATGATTAGTAGTAATTTGCAGCCACTAATGCCATCTACTCAAATACCATTACAAATACAAACTCTATCTGTCGAAAAACCCAGTGCAAGAGAAAAAACTCCAGCAACTGAATCAAAACAATCAGTATCAATGTCATCACATAACATGCCAACATCGGAAACAAGAATGCAATCAGTCGTTATGAATTCAAATATGACTACGGGTAAATATCTCTATACCTGATTAAATATATTTGAATTGAAAATCCAAATAATGAATTCCGTTTACCTATGTTCCTAGATAACAATTTATCATCGTCAACACCACCACCACGACCTTTAACAGCCCGTGAACATGATATTTATAAAAAATTATGTGAGATTATTTTAACAATACATAAAAGCAAAGAATTTGTATCGCGTGAACGAGTTCAACGAGAATTATTTCATTATTATAATGTTAACTCCTGGCATGATTTAAGAGTTCAAGCATCAAGATTTGATGCATTGATGGATCTTACTGATCGACAAAAAAGTGTGACATTTTACATGCATGTCTTCGAACAAATATTTAATTTATGTACACTAAATGATCTGGAGTCACTTCTTGCTAAATTCTTGAAAGTGAAAACATACGACGATCTTCTATTAGGTCCACTAGGTAAAAATCCAGACGTGCAACGAATATTCAAATATCAATCAACTAACCCTGATCAACCCATTATTCAAATAACTACTGGACAAGTTATTAGAAGTTTTATTGAATTTCAAAAAGCACATCGACATCAACGATTAATTCCATTTGATGCATTTATCGATCATCTTGTAGAGGAACATGAACTTCAATCACGTGAAGAATTAGGTCTTTTTTGCAAATCATTTCCTTATTTAGTACAGGTAATCTAGGCATTAGTGATATTTTTTGTATTAGCTTTTATTATTTTTTCTTTCTTCATAGGTGACCAATACTCTACGACGAGATCAAGAGTTTCATATACAGCAAGCAAAGGAACAATCAAAAAAGGATCTTATTGAAGATGTTCATGCACATTTGGCCGAATTCAAAGAAAAAATGCAAGATGAATTAGAACTTTCATCATTTAATAAGAAAAAAACGCCGACTGCTGTATTCAATTACCTCATATCGTTTGTGGATAAGTATTTGAATTTCATACCTGAACAATCAATAGTCTTTGCAATACTAACCCAACTTCGTGATGATGAATTGTTACGATGTTTATTCAATATAAGCATTTATTTAGGCACTATTGATAAGCCGGAAATATTTATTGCGGAGCTTAAAAAACTTTATGGTCATCAAGAGAAAATTCCGCCTACAAGAGAAACAATGATGATGCAGCAATTATCTATTATGACTGAAACAATGAGCAAAAAAGATCGCAGAATAGTGAATCGCATGATTCAACAACAACAACCACAACTAAAATGTTCAAACATAAGCGCCGACGAACAAATAGTAAGTTTTGCTACGCTCATAAGTAGCATTTCTTGAGGATATAGATGACGAAGTGAATTCATGAGATGAAAATCTCCAATTCATCTCAATGATTCGGTCTGACATGCATTTATGAGACCTATACCTTTTAGATAGTAGTTTTAGACAATTATTGTAACAGTAAGATACTTTTATCTTTTATTCTTTCGAGTATAGTTACTTTTTTTTACTGAAGGCTAAATTTAAATGTATATCAAAGATACAGTAGCTTCAAAAATTGATCATATAGGTTTAATTTCAATATTTTCCCTTAATGTGATAACTGGCATAAAGAATCCAAATAGTAATTCGGATAGAAAAAAAAATTTCCAATAAAGATTTGAAGAAAATAAAATTCTGACTGGGATTTCAAAAACCAATTAGCATATTATGAGGAAAAAATTGAAATTCAATCTGAATGTTCTATTTTTGGAGCTGCTGTATGTTTATACTAATTTAGTTAATCACGAAAACAATCATACAAAATTTAATGAGAGAGTAATATTTTTTCATTACATGAAATGTTTATTTTTGGTGTGTTTTGCTTTTATACAATCCATATCACGAGGACACTCCGAATTATTACCCGTCGCTTGAGATCATATTAGGTTCATACAGAGATCATGGTGAGACTAGAAAAATCCCAAAAGAGTTCGTGCTCATACATCTTTGAAACTGAATTATAACCGTTGGAGTGAATTTTCGATTCAGCTTTAGGTATTTCCCAAAACATCAGGCAGTGGTAATCAAAAAGAATGTTTCTTCGTCGAGATATTGAATTTTTAATTTAACTCGATTTTGATATCATATCTGTGGCAAAAGATCATTTTTTGAAAATTCTATATCTTGACAAAGGAACAGTTTTTCGGCTGAAAGTTTCAGGATATTCTACTAGTCATTCGATCTGCTTCTGGAAAAAATATCAGGTCGAAATACCGTTGTTTGATTTTTCGATAAATATACCTAAAGGTGAATTGAAGGCTCAGTAGCTCAGCTCCGGGGACCCATAGATACGAACTCTTGTAGGAATTTTCTAGTCTTACCTAGATCTTCTTTTGAACTCAATATAAGCTGAAATAGTAGGTATTAGTTTGAGTACGCCCCTCGTCAGTCAAAAGATAACTTGAGATGGATTTGTTTACCTTTCATTATATAGATATCTTTTACTTCTTATGAAACACCAATGAACTTTTATAATTGTTCAATTTTAGTCAACCACAAATGCAACATTTGCTACTCCATTCAGTACATCTTTCTCAAGCTCGTTATTGACATCGCATCTAAATAAACCTAAAACACCAGTATGTCTCAAACAGCTTTGTTCTGATGTCTATGCTCATTTGGTTCATTACGATACGCCACTGACAATAAAACAACTTCTCAAAATTGATGAGGATCTCTGTGCTCAATATGGTGTTGCTCATTTTTCTGCATTTACCTATGATGAGAACGATAATGACGATAATTCTGCAAGTTTTATTTCATTTCTCAATAAATATCATCATATAATTGATCCTCATGACGAATTATCTGTTTATGAACAAACAATGTCAACAGAAGATCGAACAGAATTGTATTCATTTGTTCAACAGTTAAGCATCGTCAATAATGATGAAATAAATGAAGAATATCAATCACAATCTGTAGCATTGATTCATGGACATGTAAACACTGAACAAATTCATATAAGTGCAGAAAAATTATCAGCAGTAGAAAAAGCAGTTAAACATAAATTTGGTGGATCAATTAATTTTCGTAAAGGAAATCAAATAATAAAGAAAGCTAGAAAACGATTTCACAAAAATAAACACAGAATCATTCGGTAAAAATTGTTTCTATTTCTATTTATAATATAAATTAAATACATTATTTGATTTTAGCTTTGAAGAATCTTTATTAGATATAAATGGTTTAAATCAATTAGATATTTGTCCAATATCATTGAATGTTAATGAAACTGAATTATGTCAATTAATACTTCATTGTCCATTGATGACCAATCTTTATATATGGTTGCAATGGTTCAATTTTTTTCAACCAAAATATGGTACTCTGAAATCATTTATTGCTAAGCATGAACGTAAGTTCAAAGATCTTCGCTTACTTGAAACATCAACTGGAGAAGTATATCGTTTACCTATCGATGCCAGTCTTGCTACATTTGAACATGAACTCAACGCAATGCATATTCGTTCAGCTGTTGGACATCTAGTTTCATTGATTATTGAAGAAGGTTTAATTACACGATTTCCAATTAATGTTTATCGAACATCAATGGATACTTGGTTTCGCCATCTTAGATCTTTGGCTACATTACAAAATGATCATATCGATCCAATGCATCATATACTTGAATTTTTAATGTATCTACCAATACTTATTGGTCAATCAAGAATTATTGAAGAACTTATTCTTGTACCACTTGATAAAGTGTTTGGTGATGTTACAGATAATCCAATTAATGCACGAACAAGACTCTGGGATTTAGCAAATGTACAACAAAGAATAAAATTAGAATCATGGGGTCATACAGTAAATATTGTCGAATGGAAAAACGAAAAAAAATGGTTAGGGGATGAAGAATTAGAAGAAAGATCTATTCTAAAATCAGAAAACGAATTTATCCAACAACAACAAAATATTGATGCAGGTAGATGATTTTGAAAATATCTTTTCTTTATAATTATTCTTAAATAATATTACGTTCGATAACGTTTGATGAGAAATATTTTTGTTGAACACAAAAGCCTAAGTTTTGCATGTGGTTCTATATATCTATCTTAGAAGTCGCACGAGACAGTTGTGTGTGACCGAAATTTCACCAATTGACGAACTCCATGGAGTGGAGTCCGTTGAGTCCCAAATTTTCGGATCTGGAATCAGCCCAACGGCTTTTACCACGGGGCGAGGTGGCGCAAGTAGGGTGGACTTTCGCAAGCTTCCATGAGACAATATTAATATAGGATACATGTGAGAGTTGAAGCTAAGATTACTCGAATATAAATATCATAGTTTGCAGTCAGGAAATGTTCGATAAGAGCAAGCCATGGTTTTTATTAGAAAAAAATGAGAATAATATGGAAACAAAAGACAAATAAGGCATACTCTAGTGTTCATCTGACAACGACTGTAATTTGGAAACATCATTCTTGTTTTTCTTTTCTTTTTCTCCATAACAAAAAGGTTCGTCAACAAGATGAGAAAGTTGATTGTATCAGCTAATTATCTTGTTTTGTGTGTGGCTGTGATTTATCTTTTAAGTCATACCTACACCCTGGATTCACTAGCAATATCGTTCCTTCAGCGATCAGAGATCGTAATGCAGCTGAGCAGTTATAACAGACATTAATCGAGCAATTATTATCTAAAACAGCATATAAAATTTATGAATACACCGTAGACGAACATAGTCTATCAATGTAGTCGATAAAAAAATTTTTAATAAATACCTAGTTTACGGTCAAATTAGAGGCATCGCAATAGTCTTTCGTCGTTCAGTGAAAGTTCCATCGGCAAAGCTCCGAAATCTCGAAGACGTGAGAAGAGTGAATTGAAAATAATAAAAACTTTCAAAAAAATCATGCTAATTTTGCTGGGCAATAATAAATCATTTTTTATCGTTTTGTGGATGCACACATCGTACTTTCACGGTTTCTGATCTCTCTTCATGAAGTAGATCTATATAGATGAATGCAATTTATCACTATCGATTTATGTTTAAGTCAATTCTGCTATGATGACGGCAATTGCTACGGAATCACTTCCGATTGTGGCGACCCATATAACTTCTAATATTCCTACTCCTCCAGCTGCGACCTACACTGGTGATACAAATGATTCCGTTCAAGCTGCATTCGAACATATCGAGTCAATTCGTCGAGGTTTTGGTGTTGATAGTGGTCTTGATCCAACTAGTCAAGCAATAATTACTAATCTTTTAGGTATAATCGAACGAAGTTTAGAAAGATTATCCAATGATCTCTACGTGGAACAAGGTCATTTCGTATTAGAACTTATTCAAAATGCTGATGATAATCAATACGCATTAGATTGCATGCCTACTCTACGTTTCATTGTTTCACCTGAACGGATACTTGTCTGTAACAATGAAATAGGATTTCAACCTTGTAATATTTCAGCAATCTGTAATGTCGGTGCTTCAACTAAAGGAAAACATAAACAAGGTTATGCTGGTCATAAAGGTATTGGCTTTAAATCAGTTTTCATGATATCACATCGACCAGAAATTCATTCTCGAAACTATCATTTACGTTTTGATACTGTTAATGGAACTCAACAAATCGGATATACATTACCAATATGGATAGATCATTACGAAGAAGAATTACCTAATGTTGATGAATGGGCAACATGTATTCGTCTACCAATTAAAAAGGAAGCACAAGATGCTCGACTAAAAGAAAATTTTAAGAAAATTGAATCAATTTTTCTACTCTTTCTTAATCGTTTACGACAAATTGAAGTCATAAATCCATATGATATATCTCCAATTCATAATAATAATCGAATATTTACTAGAATTGATCATGTTCAAGGACAAATTATAGAATTACAAGAAAAAACTATGAATGAAGCTATCATTAGTAATTTATGGCTTGTAATTAAAAAAGTCATTGAAGTACCCGCTAATATTAAAGTAACAAAAATAAAAATATTTACATTTCTTGAAATATGCTCATATGATATTTGTTTTAGAAAAAGTTACGTGATGTAAAAGGTGATGTTGATTCAACAATCATTGCCATTGCTTATCCACTCAATGGTATTCAAGATTCTTTATCATCGTTTCCATCAACTCAGCCTGTTTTTGCATACTTACCACTTTGTTCGTATGGATTTCGTTTTATTCTACAAGCTGATTTTGAAGTTCCAGCAAATCGTCAAGAAATTCTTCATGATAATCTATGGAATGAATGGCTTAAATCAGAAATGACTTGTCTTCTTTCTTTAGCTTATTGTCAATTTCAACATCTACCCGATTTACTTACATCATCTACAATTAATACACAAATAAATTATCAAATAACACCAATACAAATAATAAAATTTTTTCTTAAATTTTTTCCTCTACAGAATGAATCGAAACCATTCTTTAATACATTTGTTGATAAAAGTATTCAGTCACTAATGGGTATTATTAAATTACCGGTTTCACATCAAAATGAAAAAGATGAAATAGTTATCGATTGGATTCCACCTTCTCAATGTGTTATTGTACGAGATGAATTTATTCGAAAAATTCTCTCACAAGATTTATTATTATCTCATTTCAATAGTTATTATGTCCATGAACAATTAGCCCGTGAATGTGATGAACAAATTCTATTGAAATTAGGCTGTCGTCAACTTGATTTTTCAGATATTACACGACTTATTGAAGCATCATATAAACAAAATGAACAACAACATATCAAAACAACATCAGCTATAGAACAAAGTAAGTTTTAAAGATGCCAACTACTAACCATTTCAAAATATAACGTGCTCCACTGTTTTTCAAATCAATTTTGATACGAATATCATAGTCACCTGCGGTTTTTCCCATTCAATAGAGAAGACTCGGGATCATCGAAATATATCGGAATTTGATTTGTCAGCAATAGACCAATCAGAAGAGTCCTCGGGGAAGATTTTTCAAAAACGATACTCTGAAGCTATTTTCCTTTAAATTGTCACAAGACCAACATTTCTAGATTGTTCTATTAAAGACTCATGAGACTTTTTCTGAGACCCACGATTTCAGTTAATTGACCTGTAATCATTCGGAAAAGCAACTAGGCAACAGTATTTTGTCATGCTGAGTCGAATGATAATATTTGTTTTAGGCTCGAAATTATCTGACACTTCTATCTTAATATTGTCGCAATGTCGGCTCCTCCGTTGCATGGAGGCTCTCTCGAATGGAACTTGCTGAGAATATCGAATTTGCATAGATCGAAAGAGAAGTATCGATTGGCCCTCCTAAAAGTCTAAATCGAAAGAAAAAAAGCTTCAGAATTTTCAACAAGAACTCACTTGACTTCTCATTTTCTGGCTAATGAACCTTTGATATAGTTCTATACCCTCCAAATCTTTTCTCTTGAATGATGAAAATCGAAGCCTTCCCTGATGCTTCTGTCAAAAGTTATTCAAATAGCAATGAAGCACATTATATTTTGAAATAAATAGTAAACTATTTTCTTCAAGAGAAAAAACATCATCAAATGCATTACAATACTTGATGGATAATTTCCTTTTAGTTGCCCAATGGCTTGTATGTCTCGACTATAGTCTTCAACAACAACGAGAAGAAATGAATTATAAAGAACGCGAAAATGATACAATTACTAAACTTAAACAATTGAAAATAATTCCATTAAAAGATCAATCCCATTTAGTATCTGTTGATGAATTTAGCAAACATACTATTTCATTTCCACCAGACAAATCAACTCAATTTTCAAAACACCTTAAACTCATTCTTGATGATATACCCATACTTGATGAACAATTACTTAATTTTATTGAAGATAAATATCCACGACGAGTTGATTCAATTAAGCGTCTTCTTCTAAATCTCGGTAAGAATCGACGGATATTTTTTTCTTATTTATTCTTTTGTTTATATAGGTATCAGCAAAGAATATAATATTCGGGAAATATATCGTCAACATATATTACCAATTATGTCAAGTCCAACTCGCTGGGCTTCAAAATCAGAATCAGTATTAATCGCATATCTTGTATGTATTTATGAATATCTCTACTTACCTAATCCTGATATATTTGAAAATGAATTAAAAACATTACAAAATAAAATGATTATTAAAACACGTGACAATAAATTTGTTTCATTAGGTTCAACTGATGTTATTGTTCATTTAACATCAACATATGGTTGTAGGCATTCACTTGAATCTTTAAATTTACCCAACTATCGATTCCATTTTATTTCGGATGATTATTATACTGAATTTTGTCGTACCGGACTATTTCGTAGCGACCACGATATACATTTTTTTGTCAAATTTCTTAAGGCCCTTGATTTGAGCGACTTTCTACTAGTAAAAGAGGATGAAAAACGTGAGTATACCATTAATTACTATATAAATAAATTGCTTTTCCTCTACATTAGCGTTTATCAATGTTCAACAACTTGCCGATACTAAATGGGCCTATTTAATTCCACAGGTAACTGAAATGATTCATGAACCATTTATAATACAAGATTATTGTTGCAATGAATTCAATAAACTTGTATCAACGTCTGATGAAAGTCAAACAATTGATCTTGAATTATGTGTTCAACTACTTCGATATTTCAATCATCACCATGAGTATATTTCTAACTACTATGTAGGTTCGGTAATGCTGGCTCGTGCACATAAATACGGTCATCATACGCCAATCAAAGGTATTAAATCTTCATTTTGTGTGTCACTACAGCAACATGCATGGATTCCCGTCTATGGTGATGCGTTACTTAAACCTGGCGACGTTTATTTATTACCAGCAAATAGTCAGACATCAGTCTTTCGACGGTATATACCTCATTTAGATGAATCAAAAGTACCATTGCATGATTCAAATTTTATTTATAATATACTTGGTATAAAATCGCAGGTTGAACCCCGAACTATGTTCGAATTACTTATGAAATGGTCATGTAATCTTGATAGTAAATCATTATGGAACTTAGTCAATCAGACAAATATATTGGATATGTAAGTGTTTGTGACAATAGTTGATAGAGAATTCTACAAACTTTGAAAAACAAGCACTAATAAACAATAGTTTCTTTGATTTCAAATTCAGGTTGGGAGATGACATTTGCAGTCACTTTTTCTGAAGAGAATTTTAATTATTTTACAAGCATACACGGGTTTTTGTTAGAGGACACTATAGATTATGACAGTACAATATTACTAACAGGTCATCAAACGGAATTCCCCCAATAATTGAAAGAAAGTTTAAATGCAAAAAACTGTGTGACATAAGCTTTATTAATTTCTATATATTACACAGATGGCAATGAATTAATACAGAAACATAACATGCTTAATGTCTATCAAGCATTCTAATAACTAACGAGAGAACCCCTTCACATGGGCCCTTCCGATTTGAATGATATTTTGTACATAGATACTACATAGTGTTCTAATAAAAATTCTAAAATGATTTGTGTTACTATTGAGGTTTGACTAAGCTATCGATTTTTTTTCCTAGTGGTACCAGGTTTTCGAAAAACTCGTCTTTTTGAATTATGATCTGAAACTTTGTGCATAGCAAGAAGTCAATTATATTAGGTTCGATTGAAAAAATTTAGAAGCTTCCAACAAAGTCTCATCGAGAGATAAGACTTTCAACATCTAGACGCTTTTCCATAGATAGCAGCGTATATAGCATGCATTTTTTCAAAACTTCACATCGTGAAGAGACTTTGTTAAAGCTTTCTAAATGTTTTTATAAAAGTTAGTCTAATTGACGTTTCTCTATCCACAAAAGTTCAGCTCAAAATTCAAAAATTCGAGTTTTTTGTAAATCTGATATCCTACAGAGACTTCAAGAAAATAGACATATTATAAATTCGATAGCTTAGCCAAATATCAATAGAATCCCAAATTCTTTTAAAGTTTTTATTATACCACTATGTAGTGTATATCGGCATAATATCATTGAAATCAGTTTTTTAAGAACGGAAACAAATTTTTCTCAGAGCAAATATTGTTCATAAAATATACTTCTTTTACTTTAGTATTCCTTGCACTCTTCCGAATGAATTTCGTCAATCATGTCTTGATACGGTTGAAAATTTTCGTCAAATCTATAGTTTTCTCGCTTCAAACGATGAAACTTGTAATCTTCTGAGACGTTTTCGTTTATGGCCAATCATATTTATTCCACGAAATCAAAATACTGGTGATTTCTTATTCGTTCAACAAACATTTTGGAATGATCCGATATCTCTATTGTCCTTACAAGATACAATTGCAGATTCAAATGGTCGTATTCCTATACGATCGTATTACAATGATGATTCTATTTTAAATTCATTCTATCTTAATATACTTAATGTTGAATTACATCCAACAATCGATGATTATTTACCATTATTATCGACTGATCAAGATATTAATAAGATTTGGCAAATTATTGAAATAATCACAAAATTAGCAATAGAACAAAACAAACAAAATGAAGTTCGAGGTAAAGAAATTATTTTTCAAAAACAAAAAAATTGAAAAGAAAAATTTTCTTTCTTTTATTGCAGAAAAATGTCTTAATATTGAATTCATTCCATGCATGAGTGATAAACAAAAATTAGTTAAATATACCGATCATCCGTTCTATCCACATGACATAGACATTGCCAATTTGTTTTCAGATATTTTGTTGATTATTAAATTACCAGGTAACCTGAACAAATCGAATATTCAATTAATATCGTGATTATTTTTAGACTTTACCATTGATACTTCTTTTCAAGAACAATTTCGTTCGCTTTTTTCAATTGATACTCTTAGTAAAATTATTCAAACTAAAGTTGATGTTGAAAATGAACAATCATCAACAAATCTAACTGATTTCTACAGTTGTTCTATTGATCTTATTCAATATTTTCTTTTAAGCAAAGAATCTATATCTACTACTCGATCCATTTATTTATCATCTGTATTTGCTCATATGCATTTTGTTTGTGTTGATCGTATACATTTATCATATTGCCATGGGTCTAATATTGTTAAATCACCATCAACATCGTACAGTAGAGATACTTATATTGATGAACAATCAAACAAATTTTATATTCTAAAGAAATATGAAACTTCTGAAATGCGTTATATCGATGCTATGGTTGATTTTATTGTTGAAGACGATGCGACTAGATCAAAACTTTCATTATATATCAAAACACTTTTGCAAAAATATCAGAGAGATGGTGAAGATGGTTTAGTTAAATTACGAGAAAATTCGGAGAATAATTTCGAACCTAAATGGACTATTCCAAAGGAAATTAAAACCCATGTTCCGTTGTCACCATCAATACAACACGAGAAGCCTGAGGTTACATATGAAGAAATTGAACGATTGATGGAGAAGCCTTCTACTCGACCAAAACTTGCGCCAAAAAAAGTAACAAACGAAGAAGATGCTAATCGACTAACCAGTTTTCCAGCAAGAGCCGGCATTATCGAATCAAATGAAACCTCGGAGAAAAGACTTTCAAAAGTACAAACGCAACCAAAACCAAATGACTCAACTGAAGGAGAAAATATTTTATTAAAATCACATTCAAATGATCAAAATCATCGAGTACCACAACAGCATGATCGAAAGAATAATGAACATGTAGTACCAAAAGACACAATTACCCAACATACTGATGGTGAGATATATATACTATATATATATGGACCATTTCAGACAAAACGAAACATACTAATTTTTCATTTGACTTTGATTTCTTACAAGAGTAATTTTTCGGATTAAGTTCTTTTAGCATAGACATATGGGAAAATGTTTGCTCTTTCAGCTGACTATTAATTAGAAACAATTAACGAATATTGGTCTAATTATAAGAGAAAAAATCCAACAACTTCAGAATAGATTCTACGGCACCAATTGCATCTATGATCAAATTTTCAGCACGATCAAACTCCAAAAGTCTTTCTCTTAAAAATCGGGTTTCTAGAGACTTGGAAGAAGAATTTATACTAATCGGAGCTGGTTTTGAGTCTCTCATTCGGTGATAAGGGCATTTTTTTTTCGTTTGTATATTCGTACTTCATTATGTTGCTAACGAATGACTTGGCCCATATATGTTTATTGAGTTGAAACAAAAGATTGAATTTCATTTTTTTTTGTTTTTCAGTAAATTTGAACAAAAACGAATCAAATGAAGATGAGATAAGATCATCCAAAGGTCAATATGTTCAACCGAATGCTCCTATGACTTTTTCGGATTCTACTTCGTTACCATCGGCTAACTTCGAACGTATCTTTGTTTCGACTCTGACAAATATAGAACTAAACACGTCTTCTTCAACTGATGAATCATCTCCGATGAACTCATTGCCTCCTATTGGCACTGAAGTCGATCTTGTTACAGGTCGGCAAGGTGAAGAATTCGTTTTTTGTTATCTTAAATGGAAATATCCTAATGAAGATATTAAATGGATCAATCAAGCAGGAGAATCAGGTGGACCTTATGATATTCGTATGACTATTAAGTCAGAAAATAATCGAGAAGAATTTATTGAAGTTAAAACAACTCGATCCTGTGATCAAAATACATTTTCAATATCTATTGGTGAAGTTGAATATCTTCTTGAACATCCATCCAATTATTATATTTATCGAGTCTATTATGCAGACAAAATTGACTCATCAACAATTACAGTAATAAACAAAATCAAGAGAAATTTGCTACAAAAAAATCTTAAACTTTCTATGACTATTGAATCAAAAACTCAATAATCAAAAAATAATAAACTCTCAACTAGCTTTTTTATTATTATCGACTTAAATAAAATAAATTCATATAGATATGTGATAAAATATCTAATATTTAATTTAGAAATACGAAATCTATTATTTTCAATTTTTCTATGTAAAGAATAAAATTTTACGATGTTATAAGTTTTCTAGACAGAATACAATATTTTGATCATTTTATGAAATAAAACAAAATTTCTTTCTTTCATCTTATTTACTGTATAAAATTCTATGCATTGTCAATCTGATTCAACTCTTCTTTAAGAAAAGAACACATCTATTTTAATGCTGCAATCTTTCATAAAATGTTATATTGTAGCTAGGGATGTCCATACTCCAAGAAATAAGATCTCATGGTTTCTAGGAGCTGTACCATAAACTAACGTTCTTAATTATAGAAATATATATATCTGAATTGTAAACCACTTCGCGTATATTAAAAGTAGGGGCGAGGATATTGGAATTCTCTATAAAAAGATTAAAGAAACTTTCTCTATAAATGGTCTCATAGTAAAAACAACGCTTTACATTTCTGTAATATTTGAGCATTGTTCAACTAGATTTATTCAACTAATGTCGAAATGTATGTTCTTATGATAATTCTGATGCTTGAAGTAACTATCATGGAAAAAGAAAACATAAGCAGTCGATTATTGAAACGCAGATGAAACTATGAACCAATTGGTAAGGCATAGAGAAGATATGGATGGATTTGTTTCCTTCACTCACCTGCCCAAATTCTCGGAAAAAGCTTGGCATGAAACATATGGACGACTCAAGTGAATTTGTTCAGTTAGGTTTTTCCTGTTGTCCAACTTTGTTTCTCGCAAAAAAAAAACGTTTCTCTTTTCTTATGAATCGAAATTCTGTAAATAAAATAAACATATTGAGTTATTTATCATAAACTAAGTAATAATTCATATTGTTTCGACGTTTGACTACGTCGACATTATCTTCGATCAATACTATAATAATGAAATTTCGATAAAAAATGTTTGTTAATGATATGTGATGGCAATATTAGATTGTATTGCGTCCTGTATGTGTATCCTTCTATTTATGCTCTCGTTGCTCTAATAATCATTAGCTATCTATATATTCTAAGTTATGCAAAAATGAAATATAGAAACAAGTTTATCAAAATTTCGAAACAATCGTTCTGATTATTCACACTCAGTTACAATCGTTGAATCCATTTGTCGAATACTTTTTTAAATACTTTNGTAGATTTCACAGTATAATTTTGATATTCAGACAGTCTAGGATGATTGATTTGTATGATTCACTTTTTGAAGTACACATAACTCTCGGATTTAAATCCGAAGTTTCCGCATTTATTTTATTATAAAACTATCTCATCAACTTTTTTATTGTAACTCTATTATAAAAGCATTTCTTTGGTATTTGTATCTACCTAAAAATATAGAAGACAGCCTTATTCCATTTTCCCTCGCCTTATCATATTTATTATAAAATACTATCCTATCATTGTTATTGCAAAAATATTTCTTTGTTATTTCTACCTCCCTAAAATTACTGTAAAAAGATATTTTTTTGTTTTTTCTATTTTTTTGTTTTTTCTTCTTTTGTTTTCTTAATTTTTGTTTTCTAATCTTTCGTTACAACCCATCCATCATGAGATACCTCTCCTTTATATACTCATTGAGCCATGAATACCTCTACCAGCATCCTGCGATGTAATACGTTACCATATATATATGTATATCGATCAATAACGACACGATCGTAGTAGTTACAATTAATAAAAAAATTTAGTAAAAATACATTAAAAACACATTAAAATGCATTAGAATAAATTAACAATAAAAATACAATAAACACATTAAGACACATTAAAATGCATTAATAATAAAAATTACAATAAGCACATTAAAATGCATTAAAATACATTAAAATACATTAATAATAAAAATACAATAAACACATTAAAACACATCAAAATGCATAAAACTGCATTTATAATAAAAATACATTAAAATACATAAATAATAATAAAAATACATTAAAATACATTAATAATAATAAAAATACATAAAAATGCATTATTAGAAGACTATTGAAAAATGCAGTATGGTGCACTCAGACTCAACATCAAGAGTATTAAAACATACATTAGATTATATTAAGACAAAGTCTTATTTACTCGCTTGAAAAAGAAAAACAATTCGAAAGGCCTCGCGTTAATAATTATTTATTTATTTATTTATTTAATTCTTCTCTCATTCTATTCTCTTTTTTTTCTTTTCTCTCTTGTTCATATCTCTTTTTCAATAAAAATAAATCAAAATTAAAACAAAAATATTTAAAAAATTTAAAAAAACTCATGTTGATTTGTTATTTTTGTAAAAATTCTTGAAGATGCCACAGAAGGTATAATTAAAGAAGGTGTTATTCTTGGAAAAGAACATGAAGCTCGATGGCTAGCTCAACAATTAGAAAATGTCAAATTATTTGCATCTGAGGACAAAACAGAACGGATAATTCCAGTTGAAATTGGTGATACCGTTATTTATCTCTATACAAAAGAGTCTTTTTGGTTCCGGTTGATTAATCGAGTTACGCGAGATTTAAAAACAATGATAATGGAACAGCTTAAAAACATAGGACCGTTCTGTCATTTACTGAATAACTATCTAAAATATGATACAAATGGTGTTCTATATTGTAAAATTGTTTATCGTGGCCTTAATCTAACCGATGAACAGCGAAACGATTTTATGAAAAAGAAACTGCAATTTACATCGTTTACAGCGACAAGCAAAAACAGAGAATTAGCTGAAATATACGGAAACACCCTGCTCATCATCGACGTAGATCGAAAGATATTCGATGATCCCAATCAAAGTAATCTTCGTGTGGGAAGAGATATTTCTCAGGTATCTAATTTTCCTGAAGAAGAAGAATTTCTAGTCTACGCAGGTACATGCGTTGAGTTTGTCAAATATGAATATGATTTAGTGAAAAACAAACATTTAATATATCTCAAAGGTTCAGAACTCAACTTTAGTTGGCCAGGCTTACCGAAATAATGGCGGTAGAAAAATCAGAAAATCGATTATACCCTTTTTCAAAGACGATGTATGATGACTCATTACAACTATATGATCACCTCGCTTATTTTGGTTTGATAAATACTATAAAAACAAATAGACTTTAAGTCTATTTGGGTGTGGATGTGGATATGCGGGCGTGGGTGTAGGATGTAGGTGTAGCGTGTGGGTGTGGGGTGTGGGGTGTGGGTGTGGGTGTGGGTGTGGGTCTGGGTGTGGGTGGGTGCTCGTGTGGGTGTGGGTTTCGCAGTGACTGGGTCTGAGTCTTCTCCACACCAATACCCACACACACCCACACCCACACTCACACCCTTTGCCGGTAGATCGACCGGTCCGGTCCTGTCCGGTCTTATTGTTTTGGACCGGTACCGGTACCGATCTAAAAAAAGCTAGACCGATTCCATCTCTGCTATATACTTCGTTAAAATGTGTCAGATAGAAAGGTATGAAAGGAATATATAATCAACACGAAGGTCGAACAACATGTAGTAATAAAAATCTTTTGTTTTGTTTTGATTCAATTTTCTTTCTTTCTCTGCTTATAGAAATGAAGCACGACGAAAAACAAGTTGTTGCTATCGAAAAAGTTGAAGATATATGTGCTGATGAGTATTATAATCATTCAAAACTTGTGAAAAAAATTAAGCGAATAACGTGACATTGATCAACGACGACTGTAAGTAGATTCCTCAAAAAGAAAGCAAAGTTTCCTAATGCATGTCCTTGAACTATTTAGTAATAATCCACGAGATATTGTGTTAAAGAAAATACAAACACTCGAAAGTCAAATGAAAGTGATTCTTGATCAAGTAAAAGTGACTCATGATGAAGTGAGATTTCTAATTGTTTGTTTGTATTATACAAAAATATACTTTTTCAACAAAATCCAATGTTAAACTATCTTGATTGTATAATGGAAGGTATGAAAAATATGGGTGGGACCGACGTTAGAATGCCTAAACGACGACATGTTCAAGTAGATGGCCCAAGTAGGTTTATAATCCATTGAACCAAACAAAACTGAAACATTATTTAACTATGTTATAAATTGTTATGAGATGAGCAGTAGTTTTATTCATTTTTATTTCAATAGATCGATTTTTCTATATATTTTGTTTTATTTTAAAAGAAAAAAAAAACCTATACGAAATATCCATATATTGTTCTTGTTATATCATATGTAAGTACATATGAAATAATAATAATAATATAATCATCGTATTATTTATGATATGAACCAGTAATAATAGTTAAATTGAAATAAAATGAATGAAACTACGGCTCATCTAATAACAATTTATAACATAAATTAAAAAAGTCCTGTATTATTATTATTATTATTATTATATATATCTTATAATTCAGCAGTATATACATGCATTATATATATATATATATATATCATATGAATTAACTATTGATGTGATGTTATTTAATGTACTGATGATGGACCGAAAGGTCCGAAAGCTTTATTACATTATTTTAAGTATTATTACCGGTTCATATCATAAATAATACGATGATTATATTATTATTATTACTTCATATGTACTTACATGATGATACAACAACAACAATATATGCATATTTCATATAGATTTTTCTTTTTTCTTTTAAAATAGAATAAAATATATATAGAAAAATCGATCTATTGAAATAAAAATGAATAAAACTACTGCTCATCTCATAACAATTTATAACATAAATTAAAAAAAGGCCTGTATTATTATTATTATTTAACTAAATAGTTGATAACACATTAAATAATAGTTGTTATTCGAGACAACAAGTTCGACAAGATTCGTCATTAAATGAAATAAATCATTCAACGATAGCCCCTTCGCGTAAACGTTTATCAACAATGATACATTGTTGCGTACCTCTTGAAGCGTAATTAAATGAAAGAAATTA